ACCCTGACAATGGTCCCATGGAAGACCATGTTCCTCTACCAACCAGGGGTTTTCAGGTTCCATTTTAGTCTTCCAGGGTGTATCAACAAAGAGTCGTCTCCAAGCACCATGGGAGCCTCCTCTGCGGACGGAACATGGGAGCCGAGCGGCGAGATCCGAAGTCTAGGGAGCCCACAGAAGCACCAAGTGGAGGGAACACATGTTCCGACTTGTTTGGCAATCCGTGTTTTGACAGCGACGGTAGAGGTTGGTAGAGAAAGGTCTTGAACATGTGGAGATTTCTAGCACCTAACAGAAGGAAGTCGAGTTTTTTCACTGCCAAGTTAAGTGAAGTAGAGATGTCTTGAGATCATGGACACCAGACTGCCCTGCAAATCAAATCACGTCACCACATCACCATACATCACCCATCACCCCATGCCATAGGCGTCACCACACAAGCTATCACCGCACCTATCACTTTCACTGCAAAAGCAATATGTTACTGTAAGATCGGCGACAGCGGCTTCAGAACCTGAAATTCCCGAAGCGCTTGAAGCCTGCAGTGCGTGCAGCGTGTGCGCGCGTGTGAAATCACCTGTAGAAAGGATGCAACACGAACAAACTCCCAGACGCTTGCGCCGCTCGATTCAGACACTTGCTGGTAGCTTGCTTCCGTCACTATCCAGAATCCAGAAAAGGAAAAGAACACCGAAAAGGTCAGTGTGCAGAGGAGACTGCGTTGACTCGCTGACTCAAAGGAAAGGTCGGACTGCTTTGACTGCTGGCTCTGAGAGTCGAGTCATACAGCGTTGACTGCTGGATCTCTTGTGGAGCACTTCTGGCTCTCCTGCGACGGATGGTCGCGCAGCTGCGACGTGGATGTGGCGAACCCACGTGGTGTGCGCCCTTTGGCTCGGAAGCAGCGCAAGCCGCGGAAGCAGCTCGTGGGGGTCCGGGGTTCAGTCCACGGGGTTCGGAGCTGGCGGTTGAATGCAGTTCGACCGGTTTCGCAGGGGCAGCTGAAGGAGACAAGTTCAGATTCTATAGCTCTTGAGAAGCTCACACACACATGGAAATAGTTGGATAGTTTGGGGCAAATTGGCGTAAGTTTGGATGCCTGAACCATCCTGAACCCAATCTGTGGAACAAAAGAACAAAAAAGGAACACAGGCCTCCCAGCTCCGGGACGCCCGCTGCGGGAGCCTCCCGCAGTTCCCTGCCTGTCTGCCGGACCGGCTTTGCCAGCCGGGGCTTTGCCTTGCTGGGTTGCTAGTGGTAAGGATGCTCCTAGTAGTACGGCCAGGAGCTGCTAGTAGCGTCCTTGCTCCTAGTAGCGATGCCAGCCCCTAGTAGCATCCTTGCTCCTAGTAGCCGGCGCTTCGCACGGAGGGACCCGGCTGGACCAGATGATCAGCCATTCATCAGCCATTCGACCAGATGATCTCAGGTGTTGAGAGGAGAGCATTTTCAGGTGCGTCAGGTGGAAGGTAATACTGCAACTTCAACTTCCGACATTCACTCTCAGAATTCCCTGCTCAGGTGTTTTCGGGTCCACTGGTGTGGTTCATGCCCAGGTTTACGATCCAGTCTTTGTGAACGAAGAACAGGAAGACCTTCTGAGATGTTGATCCTTTTTGGGCGGACAGGCAGCGCAGCCCTACCCGCCCTCCCGGCGCCAGGCATGAGGGTTGAGTCAAAACATCGTGCGAGGAAATGGCAGCAAGCAAAGCTCTAGTGAAGCTGGCTGCATGTATTGAGGTCATGATTGGCATCGTGAAGATGTTTGTTTGATTCTTTTGGTTTCACATTGCTAGGTTTCCTTTGGAGTGCCTTGCAGGGGAACATCATCAACTCCTCTTTCGGGTTGAGTCAGTGATGATTCGTGGATACTTAGTTACTTGCGGACTTATTTGCAAATGGCAAAGGATCACAGGTCTCGCAAGGAATTCAATCACTGCCATGTAACATCATTTGACAGTGTGGCCAATAGTTGGGGATCAGAAGGTGTGCAAATGTTTTCATCCAAGAGGTGTTGCTTGTGTCACACTCCCCGGAATAATCATGAAAGTGGAAAACATGGCCCCTTGGATGACCATGTTCCTCTTCAAACAGGTGGTTGTCCGCTTCCATGATTTCCAGGGAGTGTATTTGATCCTTGCTTTAAATCTGGTTCTGGCATGTTCTGGCACAGGTGATGCACCGAAGAGTGGAGGTGATGGCAGAGGAGCAGAATGGAGCAGAGGGTAGTTTCCACTCATGCGATTTCCACCTTGGACTGTTGGGTCATCGTCCACTTCAATGCAATGTCTTAGTGCAACCACAATCTTGGAAAGGGTTAGTGGAGATGTTTTTTTTTGACCCGCTTCTGACTCAGAGACTGATTTTTCTGTGAGTCACAAGATGTTTATTCCGCTGCGCAACATCTCGTTTGTTTGGAGGAACCTTGTCTTCTGCAGGCTGGACTCGTGTGACTTGTCGATGGGCACTGACAGGATGGCGAATGAAGACGGACAGGATGGGAACGAGTATCTGGAGTCGGTGCTAGTTGCTGCTAGTTCAGGTGCAGCAGTGGAATAGAAGGGTTTTCCCGCGTTGTGTCTCTTTTCCTCGTCTCCACCAAAAGAACCCTCGCTCGCTTAAAGTGTTCGACCTACTGGATGCCTTTGGCGGACGCCTTCGATCATGTGACAAAAGACAAGTGATACTGCGGACGCCTTCGATCTCAGTACTTATGACTTCTTATGACTTCCTTTCATGCTTTGGGCTGCACCGCACCCAAGCTCCAATATTGCTTTTCTTTTGATTGGAGCTTCAATCAAGCCAGTTGGCCACATCAATTCCACATCTTTGCAGTTGCTGCAGCTCATTTCGTTGGGTGCAAGGGTGTAACTGCAGTTCCCGCGTGAGACACTGTGGACTCTTTGCCCAGCCCGCACAGCATTGCTGCTCAAGAAAGCTCAGAACATGTTGTTTATTTGGATGATTTTGCACAAGCAGGAACCACCATCAGCGACCAGTAGCCATGAACCGTCAATCTGAATCTAAGACTCAGCAGAAGCAACAAGCTGTCAAGTTTCCAAAACCAGCCAGAAGCTCTGACCTGCTTTTATGTGACTTGAGGACTTGTTTGAAATGAGGATTCCTCAACTTGCCTTTCAGCACTTTTTGTCAAAATGAAGATCTCCGCAAGATGACCTCCTTAGGGCCCTTTTGCAGTGAGGCGAGGCGGACCAGTTCTTGTTCGGTTCTGCCGCTTTGTTTGATAATGGGGACCTCTCGACATCCACAGGCTTTCGTTGATGTGGGGCAGTTGTTTAACGCGCACGTTTTATCACCCTAGCGCCATAGGAGTCCCCCGTTTGGATCTTCCAGATATGTGTGTGACTTCATGGTTTCCCGTGAACAGACACGACCACGATAACGTTTTCCATGGCAGTTGGATGTTCATCGTTTTGTTTGATCCCTGGGACTCCGGACTCCAGTCCTATAGTTATATAATCTAGTATGTTGGGGATGACTTGGTGGTTTGGTTTTTCTTCGCTAGAAGCACTTTTCAGCCGTCGCCGGATGGCGAGGTGGATGGCCGGTTCAGCTGCAAGTCCAAAGAATGGCTTTGTGGCTGCAGGCCGCTCGCGGCACGGGCAACGGCAGAGGTGGATGGCCGGTTCCAGGTTACACCTCACTCGGCAATGAAGGATTTGCAACCAGGTCAATAGAGTTTCGTTTGCTGTGTGCAAATGATGCAAGAAAGTGATTTATAAGCAGCATAGGTATACGGTAATAGTATTACAATACTATACTTGAAAAACAGAACTGTTGACCAATGCCCAACCTAAAACTGGTTTCTGGAGTTCTCACCACCAAGTCATGGCCGCAATTCCTTGTTTCAATCCGCAGCGCGTGTCAGCCGGTGTTTGGACGGTTTGGACCGTCTGAACGGAGCTCAATGGTTAATGTTCGCACAACTGATGGCGGCCAACCCTAAAACCCTACTACCCACAATGACACTTTTCTCATGAAAGATTTGGGTGCCAGACAAACATCCAAAGCTGCTCAACATTGACAGGGGCCAACCCTTCCAAATATTTTACACTGGGCTGCTACAACCTAATCTTAGAGATCCACACAATCCATCAAGATCAGGCAATGTTAATACAAATTCACCAACCAGGCACTTGTACTTCACAACTGAGTTCATCATAGTCCATCAAGAACGTTTCTGACCAGCATTGCCTACCCAAACATGTGCCCACATTCACAACTTGGACTTGTGGACATGTAGCAGTGACCCTGTCATACCAGAGACACCTCAGGGACCAATGGGGTGTTTCAAATGGTGAAACGACTCACGATTCAAAGACCATCTAGTGGCCACATGGACCCACGAGTCTCACATGAATCTCCTCCCCCCTGCCCTCCCACGCCCTCGCGGTCCGGCTCGATTCCACGAGGTCCGGCTCCTGTGAGGGTCCGACTCGCTCCCTGCAGCGGGACGAATTGGAGTCCCTGAACTTCACGGGCGCCACCGTGCGCATGGCCACCTTCAAAAAGGTCATGAAGGCCATTTAGCTGCTGCGTGGTGTGTGTGTGTGTGTGTTGCTTCTTGGCTTGAGAGCAGAACGTGGTCTATATAAAAATGGTTGGTGCAAAAAGGGGATAGTTCTCAAGACCACAGTGTTCTTATTATATAACGACTTTTCATCGTCGATGGTTCTGGAAATAGACTGACTTGCCAGCAAAAAAAACTGGAGCTTAGGCATAGAAACTTTTGTTGACGTTCAGCTGAGTCTGGTTAGCAATCACATTCGAAGTTTTAAGCATTGGACCTAGCCAATGAGTGTGTCATGTTTCGATTTCTCCAATCTCCGGCCGCGTTGGTTTTCTGCACGAGCAGCTCAATGTGAGCAGTTCGTTAGTGGCGCTGTGCCGCGGTGCCGTTTTGAGCACCAAAGAGTGCCCAGTGATTAGCCATGGCCATGATTTCATGTACATTCCAAGCCTTGGCACTCCTTGTTGTCATGTCTTTCGCTGCAGAGAATCCTCGAGACGAGGATGGCACTCCTGTGGTGTGTGAGGATCGAGATGATCGGTGGCAAGTTCATGGCACCAGCTGCGAGAAGATGAGCGCGATGTGTGATGATGATAGTTGCCCATACACAATGTCGAGTTTTCTTTTTAGGGGTTAGAACATAAATTACACACAGGGAATCTGTACTGTAGAGAATATCTTAGACACTATGTTGAACTGATGTTTTTTTTCATCATGGAGTAGCAGGCGGTAGCAGGGTATCCATGACTGCTCTATTCCACAGCCTTAGAGGACCGAAGTGCCTTGCCCTGAGGTTATGGTGAATTGGTCCAAGCTTGGTGCCCTGTGACCTGCAAAAGATGCGAACCGAGCTTCAAGTCACAGGGCGAGAAAGATGTGGAGACTGATCGAAAGGATGTGGAGCTCGAAGTGATGCCGGATGCAGGTTGGGCAGTGATACGTCCAATGGAACAGGGCACGGAGTGGATGGCGTAGATGACCACTGCCATTACCCGCATAGAAAATACCATATTGTGGCTCAATGCGGGTGCCCTAAACCCTCGATCAAACTACGGGTCGTAGTAAAAATACAGAAAGTTTGCTGTGTGGCGTGATTCGTCAGCTAGAACTTTGGTTCGGCCAGGTGACAACGCCTCCTCCGTAAACTTCCTGGAAGATTTGGCAGGTGACAATGCCTCCTCCTTGAAGTTTTTGGAAAATATGTCAAACATCTCAAACAGTTCGAAGTTTTTGGCTGAGAAGGGAAAGAACGATGCGAACGGCACTTGTCCAGCCGAGCTTAGCAGTGCAGTTGCAAATCTCAGCGGAAACGTGTCCAAGAGCAACATTTCGATGGTGCAGACTCTCAGCAGTAAGGGAAGTCGTCAGTCGTTTGTAGACAAATCTTCAGGCTATAGTTATATCGAAAACGAACCTATTAAGCATCTCAAGATCCTAGATAGACCATCCTAGATTGATGTCCTGTACAATGCCTTGAATTGGTTCTCAGGCTTGGAATAAACTTCAATGTAGACCAAACGCAGGCTTTGAAAGGCTTGTTCGTTGTGATCAATTGCCGCTTTGTTATTTTACATGAGTCTGTGTGACGAGAATATCCACGTACAAATTGTATCGGAACCTGTTTCTATCTATTTGTCAATCTATCAGCTCGGATTGTTTCTACTGCACTCAAACACAGGGCTTCGGCGAACTCGCATGCGAGTTCCTCGCAGGCGCATTCCGCACTGAGGAATGCGACAGCAGTTGAGGGGTCGACCACAGGAAAGGCCATTCTTCTTCTTGAAGAGTTGGAAGAGACAACTTTGACGGACTCCAACGACCGTCTTCCCATGATTGCCTCTCAATTCGAAGTCTTAGGCAACATGGACTTGTTAACAAAGGAATTGCACAGTTGTGGTTTATTTATCCGCGTGTGTTTGCGTTCTTTGTTGTGTGTGTGTTTTCTCAACAATGACTATGACATAGTATATGCATTGAATATGGTATATCATATGTACGCTGCTACTGTTGTGCTGTCAAGGTGAGATATAGGATTTGCTTCCCCCCTATATTTGGCCCCCTTTGAAAGAATCCATCATTGAAACCTGCATGCTTATGCTTAGCTCAATCTACAGAGCATCACTTAGTCTAAGGCAAGGACCCTTTCAGCGTCAGCTTTGTGAAAATGGAGGCCAACCAGTCTCACAGCTTTCGCAATGCGAGCCGAAATGCCACCAACGCGACCGGCAAACGGCATGAAGGCCTTATTGCTAAGATTCTTGATCTTCTGAGCCCAACAAAGGTGGAGGTGGAAGAGAACACCTCAGCATGCCCTGAAGGCTGGGAACAAGTCATTGGAGATGTTTATGGTGGAGATCAATTCTCAGGTGCGGAAGGGAGTTGAGTCTGTTGAGTCTGTCCGAAGGGGGACTGGGAGAAGAGATGAGGAGAGTGGGAGTCTGTTAAAAAGGGGTGTCGATCCATTAGAACGATGGTGATCAGGTGGCTACACGCATTCAGCCAAGAGCATCGACGATTGTGCTTGGCGCTGCCTTAAAGAACCTGGCTGTGGCTCCTTTGAATGGAGCCCTTCCCAGAAGAAGTGCTTCCGAAACAGCCAGACTCGGCCAACCCATGAGGAGGCTCGAGGAGATTTCCTCTTTTGTCGACGGCAGCCATGCCCCAGATTTAAAACCAAAGAGGCCTGTGTCGGACCTGGGATTGCATCCGGATACTATTCCAAGGAGGTGAGCATGCGCCCTGGGAGCTACTGCATTTGGTCAGCTGGACATTGCCAGGCACCAATGGCATGTACAGATCGTGACTGCTTCTTGTTTGCCAACAGTTTTGTTAAGGATTTTACACTCAGTGGATTCAGTGGTATTGGTATGGCTAAAGTCCAGTTAGATTATACTATATAGGATGAGATCAGGTGTACCGGTTTCCAATCCCGCGCACCGGCACGAGGAGGAAATCCCTTGCTTTGTGTTCTTGTTTTGTTGCTCCCGGCTTCGGATTGTGCAAGCTGTTACCTTCGAGGCTTCTTACCTGACGGTGGACTTCCCGGAATGAAACTCCCCAATCGCTACACGCTTTGGATTTCACGACTGGGGCTGCAAGCGACCATGGCTTTGTAAGCGAAGCCCTCCGACTTCCTGTGCCGAGATTCACTCAAGACGGGCGTCTCAGACTCACCGACAGATTCACTGACAGCGAAAAAAGATAGGACTGACATAGCTTGGAAGATGCTGGAACTGCAGTTATTTTTGAAGATTGACACATCTATAGGACCAGGCTTTTCTTGCTCGGATTGCTAATGATTGCTATAACTTCTAACCTACCTGTAGTGGTTGCGCAAAGACTCCATGGAGTGTTTTTGATTTGGCGCTTGGGTGCTTTGCAGAAGCCTCATCCAAGAAGATCCTGCGAAACACCCTCATGTCTCCTCGCGTTTGGGTTTGCAGGTTCCCGTTTGCCTTTGCCCCGCTTCTTCGGGTCACCTGGCAGGATTGGGAGAAAGGTGGAGAGTCTGAAGGGATCGAATCGTTCCCAAACATATCCCATATTTGAATGTATAGAACCAGTATATATGCTAAGTATTATGTATAATGTTGTTTTGTAATATACATCATTGTACTTATACTATATCGCCACCCAAAGGGTGTCTATAAGATTCTATAAGCATTGTTTAGAATCATAGTCTTGTGGGGGGGTTCAGTTTCTCCTTCGATCAGTGGTTACAATTCTTTGCGACCCCCACAATCCCCTTTTTTCGGATGATCCATTCTGATGGCATGAAAGCACTCTTACCTCGGGGTGGCCCTCAATAGTAAACAGTAGATGATCTCAACGTGGATCAACTGAATGAGCGTGCCATAGGCTAATGAGCAGCTAATGCGTGAAATGGGAGTATTTGAATAGTCAATGGTAGGAACATGATGAAGGTTTCTGATTGTGTGGGGACCAAATGTTCCCACTGCATACTTGCTGGGTGCTCAACTGAAAAAACTCCGGCGCTAGTGGGGGAGGGTCTGATGAAGCTGCCGTTTTTCCAGGCAGTGCCCAGCTGAGGTGGCTGGTTGGACAATTCTTGGGTCCTTTGGCTGCTTGGGGGGCACTGTGGAATGGAAACAACTGGAGGGCGAATGCACCCCATGCCGCTTGGAGCGAACCGAGCGAACCACTAGCGAACGCATGAGACTGAGACGCAGACACTGGACCCCTAAAGACAAAGGGTTTGACAGTACTTGACACCAAGAACACCAAGAAAGACCTCGACACCGCGGATAAATTGGTGTGGATGCAGCAAAACAACTCGTTATCCCCGGATACAGGAGGGGGGTATGTAGGACCGAGGGAAGTCTCCAAGAACGATCTAGTATGATCCCTATAGGTTTCCAAGTTTCCAACCACCAATGTTATAATGGTCTGAATCCCACAGAACCATTGTTTTACTAAAGGATATAACACCACAACTAACACCAGGTCAACCATTTTTTAAATGGTCTTGGAAGGCTAAGGCTATAGCCATGAATTAAAGTTCACTGAATGAGTCCTGCGGATCGGTTGATGCAAAAAGTATCATCCCGTTACCCGTTGATCGCATCGGTTGACAGCGCCTTTAGATCTCGCATGCGGCATGTTGCCATCGTCTTTGCAAGTTTATCGGTAGTTGTGCCAACATCGGTTTCCCACTGTCATCCGTTCTCGCAACATGGTCATGAGCGGTTTCACATCATGTTCACGATATCCACAACGGTGGCCCTGCACGACGTCCATCGAGGATGAGCCCTGTCGCAGAATCGTTCGACGCATCACTCGCACCGAGGCACTGAAGCCCCGACGCACGCCTGGAGTGAAATTGCGTTGCCACAAAGCCAATGCTACTGGGATGGCACAGTGGCGATGAAGGGGATGACAGTTGCCATGAGAAAGTCAAGCGGAGGGATCATATTGGAAGGGATGAGGGGAAATGCGAAGAAGGCGAACCTACTTGTACTGTGTTTGGGGATGGGAGGGAGGGGGGCCAATCTACGTGATATAGGATGATGTAGGCCTATAGCCTATTTAAAGCCCTTTGTATTTATAGCGTTCATGGATCCTAAGATCCCAGTGGTTCTCCTTGTGGAGGCCAGGTGGTTCTCAGCAGCTCCCCCAAAACAGATGGTAAAGTCGGTGTTTTAAGTTTGCTGTGTGGTTTGGGCAATATTGGGCAATATATTATTTAATATCAGTGTAGTCCATTGTTGTCATGTAGTCATATAGTTCACGTATACTTGTACTCATTCCTGCCCCACAGGATTGGAACTTCAGGGCGGACTTTTTCAGGGACCTAGAGGTTGTCACCTACCAGATCAACCCCCGCAAATGGAAAAGATGACCTGCAAACTGCGGGATACTGCTGTGTCCCAAGGTCTTCTTGTTGAACCAGATATACTGTACTGCACTTAGCGGATCCCTTTGGATCCAACCACCTTCTCAGTTGGAATCACCCAGTTCACATCACACTGGTTCACATCCCACTGGAATTCGATTTGGAACTCCGTTTAAAAACAAAAACACTGTGTTCTGGTCTTCGAAGTTCACGGTCATCGGAATCACAACTCCACCCAATGTCTCTATTTAAAAGTCCGAACATGGGGCCAGTCTTCTCAGAAGCTGGGGACCCCCCCGGGCACCTACCCCACCCACCTCAGTGAGACCTTGTTTCAACGAAACCGACCCTGGAGCCTGGCCTGCGTCAGGTTATTTGATGTTGGGCGGTGGGACCTCCACCTTCCGCGATCGCGGCACCAGTGCCTTTCGCCTTTTGCTTCACGAGACTTGGAGTGAGGTCGGCCGTGAGCTCAGGGTCATTCAGTTCAGGTGAGGGGTGGAAGTTGGGTGAGTTCGGGTGAGCTGTGCCTATATACCTGGATCTTCGAAACGGCACAAATAATTGCCTTTTCAGGAAAAAATGCCGTTACGGCGTCTTTTTCCAAAGACGGCGTTTTTTGTTGTGACGAGGCGCACGCCGGCAGAAAGCAAAAAGAAACGGCGTCTTTAAGCGTCCAAACGGCGTCTTTGGGCGTCCAAACGGCGTCTTTCCCCGTCCATGGATTTTGTACAACCCATAAAACGGCATTTTTTTTGATTACGGCGTCTTTTCACTAAAAAATGCTTCCGGCAAAAGTTTGTGCCGTTTGAAGATCCAGGTATAGACTATCAGAGCCTGAACAAAAAGGTGAATTGATGCCACAATGAATTGTCCAAGGCCTTCCAAAACGATGTGGATTCCTGATCATCCTTCTTAATGGGACCCAAGGATGGTGCGTTCTCTGAGTGAACGCCTCCTTCGGTTTCGTGTCGACCCAGAGGGTCGCTCAGAGCGAAACCAGGCCGACTGGTCGACCGTCGGAACCAAGGACACCACCTTCCGGTTTTGGCCCCGAGAGGTGCGTGGGATGTCGTGGTGGTTGGGATGGTTTTCTCAGGAATTCGAGGTGAGGACTGGACTCAAGAATTGTTTTGGGGGGGGTTGAATCTAGGACACGTGTTTTTGTGTTCATTGATTTATGATCTATAGACAGATAGGATAGGATAGGATAGGATCAGTTATAAGATAGGATTATAGGATAAGATAAGGCACTTACATGAGGTAGGTAATCAACAGTAGTGCGAGGTATTGTTTGACTTTTTGTGAAGGGCTTACCCTGTGCAGGCGGCTTCCATGTTTGGATCCATCGCCAGTGTGGGTGGCCACACACCCCACCTGGTGGAAGGGAGATTAAGGAAGTCACACCATCTCGAAACATACCAAATTATCCATAATGATTCAGAACCATGCAGCAATGCATTCCAATTAGGTTGAACGAGGTTCCCACAAAAGACCTTTATGTCTATGTCTCTATGTCAATACGATTGATTGTGGTTTTGTGCGAGCATATGGGAAGGGACTGGACAGCACCTGGATGATGTGTTTATCGAATCGGAAGATAGAAACTACAATTCTTTGAATCGGTGCGACATGTTCTCAATACAAGCTCTCGATGAAGTTCTGCTTTGTAGGTCATTGACATTCATCTCTAGGCTGTTTGGGGGTATCAGTTGATCTATGCAAACAAAGTTTCGTCACATCTTACACATATATTATGTAAATTTAGTGGGTCGAGAGATGATTCAGATGAAGATGGCGTTGCTTCTGGAAAATTCCAGAATTTGCGACTTAGAATTTCAATCAAAGGGTTTGGGATGTGGACGTGCCATTGTGTTTGCCACTAGCTACCTTTTCGCAGCGCCAAGAAATATCGATTTGATGCAACCAAGAAACCGCTGCGCGCAGTGATTGGACCTGGCAACGTCTGGTCGCGGAGTTTTTGTCAAGACACTTGTGTCATTTGTGAAGCGCATAAGAAATAGGTGGCTGTGGGTCAAGACCAGGATACCGACCGGTTGACCTACCCTGGATGGTCTTTCACGACATGGTGGGACAGGGCTCCAGGTTTTGACCCCATATTTGCTGCCCAGATCCAGTGGGGAAAACACCTCACAGGAAGACCGCTTGGTCTATGGCGGCCTGTTGCTGCATCCACCTCGTCCACTCCACAGTGGACACGTGCGGCTGCTGCAGCAGTTGATCGCGCACGGGGCGCGACGGCTGGCACCGGAGGTGGAGTCCTTTGAACGGAGCTTGGATCAGGTGGGGAAAGGGATGGATATGACTGCAGGGGCATGTGTTCATGTGAATGAAGACTTGGTGTGAGGATAGAGAACTATAACTAGAAGAAGATGTGGAGGGTCAACCAGCCAGTCACAGGGCGGTCTTGTTGAGGGTCAATGTCATTGTGTGCATACACCCACACCATCCATGTATGGAATAGTCGCACGCCATCATATGCCCCATTTATAACCCTAACGTAGTTATATCTATTGCATACATGGATGGTTTGGTATTTCATACATGGAGTGTTTGGGCACCAGGACATAAGTCTTTCGTCCATCCCTTCCAGTCGTGGCAGGAACGGTCCAGTCTTTCAGGAAGGCATCCACGGCAACTCACTCTGCGGTGCCAAGAAGACAACAAACGTCAACATAAATCAGTGACAGGACACATCTCCACGGACCACTGGCCACGCGGCGTGACAAGCACACAGTTCCC